TTTGTTTACTTTGCCTTCGTAATGAATAAATAAAAGGACCATAATTTCGTTTTCACGGTTAAATAAAAAATAATCTCAACATTTAAGTTAATTTTATTTAAAGTTTTTGATCAGTAGATCGTGTAGATAGTTTAATACAAATACTATATTATTATATAAATCTTTAATACATTATTAGCATTAACTAAACCACAAATCTAAAACTTAATGAAATAATTAAATTTTGAGAATTGTTGATAATAGACAATATATCTACATCTCATAAATAAAGATTAGATGTAATAAATTTCAAATTTCCCGAGTAAATATGAACCCTTTCATACATCTAAATTTTAATATTATAATTATTATTCTAAATGAGCGTATTTACACTCTGTTGATAAAACAAGAAAATATTTTAAAAAAAAATTCTATATACAAAGGGGTTGTTTATTGGATGGCGCTTAATGTTGAACAAAATGTCTCCAACTTCTTAATGATTAATAGAAGGTAAGAATGAGATTGCTAAACTGTTTGGATGCATGTTAATTACATGGGTTTTGACTCGTTCAGAGGTTGTTCGAGACTGTATACCAAATGCATCAGTACTGAGTGATACAAAGATAACCTGTAAAGGTTTCATTAAAAGGTTACCGAACAACCACAAATCCTAATAATTAGTGATGTTTATAAGAAAATTATTTTGCTCTTTTGATTGGCTATCAGAAGAGGCGGACGCAGGAATTAGTAGTAGGGGTTGCACAAATTTTTTTTTCCGGTCAAACATAATATAAAACATTAAAAATAAAATCCGGTCAAACATAATATAAAATATCTAATACAATTTTTTTTTTCTGGTTAAACATAATATAACAACGATCTATTAGAATTTAAATTTGTCTTCTTCGTGCATACATCTTTTGAAACCGCTCCATTACTTTTTCATTCTCAACTTTCGCAAGTGCTTCGGTCTCGATATTACAAAGCAATGCGTCGTTCAAAAATTCATCGCCAATTTTGTTACGCAAGTCGGTCTTCAAGAGCTTCATCTTTGAAAAACATCTTTCTACACTTGCGGTTGCTACGGGTAATATCAAAGCCAACTTTAAAAGCTTATAAACCAAAGGATAAGATCGATGCTTCCCCGTACTAACCATCAAACGAGAAAGGTCGGAAATTCTTTTCAAACTAGTGAAGCGCTAATCTTTGTGCAAGAGTGATAAAATATCTCAAGTTGTCCTTCAAGGTCTATCATATCTGAATCATCAAAGTCATACTTGTATAACTTACCCAACTTCAATAACTTTGATTTGTCAAATTGTGCAAATGAATCACAAAGGCTCAAAGCACCCATGTATTCTAGTAATTGGGTGCTTGTTTCACTAAATCGATCCCGATATTCTGTAAGTTGCATATCTACCACCGTGTTGAAGATTTCAACCTCAAAATGAAACCTATTAGTCTTTGTAGTCCTACGTTTTCTCGCACCAATATACAACTCTTCCATATCTAAAGTATCAATTTCGTGTGTTTGACAAAAAGATGATACTTTTAGCAAAATGCTAGCAAACCCTATGTTTCTAAAAAATTGCAATGCCTCCATTGTCCCTCTAACCATCGAAGCCGCTTCTAAAATGTCTAGATCTTTTCTTTGAAGTTGCTTTGACAATGTACCCGTGAGGTGTAAAATGTCATACATCATATGTAAGTAAAACACGAACTCATATGATTTAAAATATGCTAAGATTCCAGATGCTTGTTAACGGTTTGCCAATGACCCTCCCTCCTCTTTCACAAAATCTAAAACTACAAGAACATCTGCAAACAACTTCATGAAACTTGTGAGTGTGTTGAAATGTGAACCCCATCTTGTTTCTCCCGCTCGAACAAGTGTTGTCTCTTGATTTAACCCTCTCCCGGTTTCAAGTTCACCACTACACTAGCCTTTTTGCACCCCTTTCTCTTGCTTGCTCTCGTAGTAAGTCTTTTCTTTTACACGAGGCACAAACAACATTAACCACCA